TGGCTGCTCTGTGGACGAGATAAAGCTAAACCGGGTTGACTCTAACCCAATCTAACAATCACAACATCACCGTTACAATAAAATTTTATCACAGAACTATTCAATCTTCGAATGGATTCTTCCAACTGAGGATAAAATTTACTCTTCTAAGCTGGTGACATTCCTTTGTGATTTACAACATCACCGCAGGCTTTTCGAGGAACGGTAATAACCATGGGAGACCGACAGTCCCCTCTTCAATGCATATAAGAATATATGAATATATATAAGAATATATAGGAATATAAATAAAATTCGCTTGTCGGGGAGACAACATGTGGTAGAAAAAACTATTCGAACCTGATTCTAGGAGATCTTTGCCTGCACCAATGGGAATGATGTTGATAGTACACGAAAGAATAATTAAAACACGAGAGTAGTTTAGCTGAGAATATCAGTTAAATGACATCATGTTTGCTTTTCAAAAAAGTCGGCTTTAGAAGGTAAAAGACATGCTTTTAGTACTAATAGGACTCCCGCTATTTCCGTGATACTTAAAGTCGGATCTCTCAAGTGTGCCATTATGAATGGTAGGGGGCGCCCTGCATGTGTACCAACAATTTCACATTTTTCTGTGAAAAGTGAGATTCTGGTTTGTTAGGATATATAAGTTTGTGCAGGAATGTCAACATGGAGATGAAAAATTGTACAATGCTCTCAAGATATTAGCAGTCTTGTCAATATTTTATATTTTATATTTTTATAGGTGGTATCTCAAATGGTAGTGCCCGGTTAGTCGACGTCTATGGTGGCACACCGTAGTAATTTTTGTAGGTTAGAACACTTTAAAGTTCTAGGTAGTGTGTCCGTTAATTTCTTCCTCTCTTTTAATGTTGGGACTAAAAATTCTTGAAGGTAAAAAAGCCTTGGTTATTCGTACTCTACATGCAGGCACTACAGAGATGTCTACATGCAAAACATGAAGCACAGATAGAAGACAAGCGTAATGCAGATGTCTGCATTCGGACCAAAACAAGACGCAGTCGGGACAGAAGCAGTGATAATTCACTGTGATCCTGCCTCCAAATGGAGATATAGAGCACAATTGCATTCAAAAAGCATTTAAAAGCGCTTCTGACGCTTGAGTCTCAGATTTGATCAAAAGGGTTTCTTCGTCGAAGGGATAATCGTCCAAACTTCAGACCATTTTCGAAATTACGAAACACTTTGGAACATGTTGAATTCATACGACGGTTGAACGGAGTTACAATAGCGAACTCAGTGCAAGCAGCCCCACAAGTTCCCTGATCTTTCTACCGGAATAAAAGAAAATGATGGTACTGACAGCTGTTTCAAGTTCGCCGAGCTTTTGATGATTAGTTTATACTGCCTACCAAGTTACTTACGCAAAATGCTTTCGAAATCTACAGAGAGAAAATAAAACGGTTGGTTTCGTGCTCCTGATGCCCTGCACAGATAAGGTCATTTTTGCGGCGCGTTAAAATGCTTCTTGTGGACATTTTTCTCTGAATACCGATTTTAAGTCAGCTGCACGTGATTATTGCAAAGATTTCATCTTTGACGTTGAGAAGGCTGATCTTATGACAACTGTCCGCCTAAGGTGTGCCAGTGACTCGAAACTTATGAACTGGAATGTCTGTAAACTTCAGCGGCCAAAATAAGTAAACGCAGAGTTGATTTTGAGTTGTTTGTTTCCTATCAAAGCCATAACTTCGAATTAAGGATCCTGAGGTCAAAGTTTGCAAAGTGGAAAACTCCAGTGTGTCACACTCATATTTAATATTACAACAAACTCTCGATGAAGGCGTCCTAAATGGTATACTCGGCGAGCAGTGTATTACTCGAAGATGAAGAATCAAACTTCCTAAGGACGGTTCACTCACATGCTGCAAAATGTACGCATGACTCAAATGTATATTGCATTTCAATTACAGGTGGTAGGAAGTTACTTATCCCGAAGCGTAAATACATTTTCATGGTCAAAAAGTAACAGCGAGTATAGACTGTCAGAGTAGCTTTCAAAATAGATAATACATTTGGTGTCTGGAAGCATTCGTCTGAGCGCTTCAAAAATGCAGATACCAGTAAAACTCGGGACGTCAAAAAGATAGAGAAGTGGATTTTAAGTTAACCCGGTCGACTGATAGGTAGCTTATGACTGAAGTTGATCGCTTTGCAGAGTATCAAATCTAGTCAAAAGACCGCTTTCCGTAGTAGACAATCGACTGACCCTCAGCTATTACGCTTTTTGAGAAAAAACGTGGTTGCTGCGATTAAGTTACGATGGCTAGTTAGGGATGTGAAAAACTTGTATACATACAGTATGGCACCACTAATCGTCCCATTATGCAGTTTGTGTCATATCATCTAATGTTTACTGACTGCTTCAATTTAAACTGATTGATGCATTGCTGTCTGAGCGGATTACTTTTAGTTTATAGACAATGAAGAGATTTTAATGTTTCGGTGGGGTTTTAACCACAAGTGAATCCAATGCAGTTACAGTTTGATGACAAGTAGGATACTGAAGGTAATAGGCTAGCCTATCTGCTTCTGTTCTTGAGGTCAGTATGCATGAATACGTTAACTACAACCGGCGAGTGATAGCGGAACAATTTATTCGTGGGTGATTGAACTCCAACTGCTTCGCGTTAGATAAGTGCCCCGAAGCAACTAGTCTGATTCCCCTTAATTCTGACGAGATTCCAACTGTAAGCACAGGATGGTGAACTTATTTTTCAGTTGGTATGACATTCGACAAACTGTCTGTTTTGGGCTACGTTTAAAGCGTGAATGTCGTGTCAATACCCAAAGATGGCTAAATCGGCGAGTTGGGTTGATGATGTGCGCGCCAGATTGCACTTTTATCGCTACCAGTGGGTCATGTTCAGATAAAGCCATCGAGTGACGGTGTTAGGAGATGACACTCAAATTTTTAAAGGAACTCATTGCCCGTTCATTTGGTCTGCTGGGCCGCACAAACACAGACAAGGAGGACAAAGAATAAACAGTTGGCTCCATGCCCTGATTGTGTTTGGTTATTGCCAAAACAAACTAGGCTTGTGCTGCTTACAAATCCAGTTGAAATGGTGTGGTTTGTCCTTACATCCGGGTCAGGAAAAATAATATGTTGATACAATGGAAATATTCTGAGCATTCAGCTAGTGTGTCCGCTGCTACCGCTGTATTTTGAATGGATTTGATTTTGCTTAGGTCGCCCAATCTAGACCCCAACCAGTGCGACATTCTTGCTTCGGTCCGTGGAAGTTTTACTTGGACAACTGCGATTAAAAAATGTGGCAGTTTTCTGTCCTCGCAGAGAATAGTCAGAATGCATTACAACTCAGAAACTAATGCTTTGTACGGCCTGTTTTTTATTGCCTTCTTTGAGTGTTTTGCTAACTGTTGACAACCTATGGTCGACGTTATTCGACTCCCTGAAATTCGCCTCCCCAGAAAATTTGTTACCGTTTATTCAGTAGAACTAACTAACTCGATGTTTGCTGATACGAAGCAGTGACTAAAGGATGATGTAGATGTCCAGAATGAATACTAGAGATGTCTTTTGTAGTTTCCCATCGGCTTGAATCGTTCGCTAGATGATACATGTTTGGTAACAGAAAGCGAGACAAACTGGATTCTTTTCGTAAGTCCAAAATTGCACCAGTAAAATAGTCTTTACGTCCATAGGCCAAAGGATTCTGTCCTTCACTTTGACTATTCTTACTGACTGTATCGACTTTCACAGCAGAAATCTTCCATAGCTTACAGCTTTAGCAAAAGTTTGCGAAGATACACTCATTTGCAAACTAATTTGGTTTTTCGAGAGACTCACCTGGAACCCAGATGAATCTCTCGTTTTTGATGTTCTCAGGGACTGCGCCTACCTGATGAGCCCCAAAAAGGGCGAAACCGGTCTTGTGCTGTCGACGGATTTTTGGCAACCTTATGAATAGTACATTACAAATATACGCAAAAGTTTTTGCTTAAATCTTTCCCCGTCTTTTGTCATGGGGGTATTACGCGAGGACATTGAGTACAGCACTCCTGGGAAACCAGCCGTTTTTCTCACACTTGCTGATCCACAACCGTATTTGGCAGTATTCTCAAGAGATGTATCGGGTTGAATGAGCAATGTGAAAGCTTGCTTCTCCAACAAAGCCAGCAGGCCGTTTGTTCAAAATCGTCCCTTTATCATTACTGTTCGAGAAAACAGTGGTGACGTTTTTACCGTCTTGATCATTCGGTTTCACGAAAGTTATGCAGTATGGCAAACGTGACACACTGTCGATAAGTTTGCTGAACACTCTTAAACATCCCACGATTGATTAGGACCTTCTTGAGATTCATCAGGTAGGCGCAGAAGACCCTATACTAAAGACTCAGCTTGATTTAATTAAGTCTAGTGTTATACACAAACTAGCATGCAAATAAGAGTTCGAGTTCAAGTCGAACATAAGGCTGAACGGGACTGTGCAAACCCAATGAGTTTAAAGAATGGAAAACCAGCCGCCGGCTGTCGAAGACTTTTCAAAAACCTTACGCCCATAAAATGTACAGAGATATGTCAAATATCCTACCGACTGAGATATGAGACAGCCTTGTGCAGCACACGCAACTAGAGGCCATCAAGAACAAGAGATGCAGCTGAATTCAGTTGGGTCGCCCGTCGAAACCAGATTAATACCCAAATGCTAGTAAATAGTCTTACTAACTCGTTTGAAACCTTGTGTAATATGGAATCCTGGTTGTTTTTTCGACAGCGGTTTACGTACTCTTGACACTACTTTCTGAACATGTCAGTCAACCAAAGACCATCACAGTGATTGTCACTCGCTAATGAGGTTCCCTGCATGCAAACAGTAGGTTGGTTACTGTCAGCTGAAAGGTTTCAAAACTACAAACACGGTCAATGTCTCTGCCGTTTTAACTTTATAACCCAACTCTATTCGTTTTTTTCTTATTGCTTAGGTCTATCTAGTTTCGGAACATCTCTAGTTATGAATCTTTCACCAAAAGCAAAGGACGCGTGCAACATTATTGCTGACTTGTATGTACCCGAACAGAGAATTATCCTTGAAAAGCTCGTCCTTGAAGGTAAGTCTGAAACCGTTAGCCTACCATGGTTTCGTGGAGATTAAGATCTCACTTGAATCGAAAACGATTTAGTCTTATCTTCGCACAATCACTTCTATGGTGTCATTAATCTAGTTTAACCTAATTCGTTAAGCAGGGCACCTTGAGACTGTGACTTCCTCTCTCTTCCTTAAACTAAGAAAAATTCATTCGATCTTCACAAACGCAGATCAAAATCACGCGAAAAATAGCACAAAAAATAGAAAGGAAATTTTCAACTTTTTCTACTCTACAGCTGTGAGAAAATTTCCAGCCTGTACCCACATCATTGGGTATGTTGTTCAGTTTATGATTTGAAAGGAAGCTATCCTCAGTTTTACATGTCCACACTAGTCTGCCTTTCTTTCATTCGAACGCTTGTATGTCAAGGCTGATTTTATCTTCTACCAAGTTTTAGAGATTTGTGTAAGAGCCAGGGTAATGAACTGTCACTCAGTGGATTTATTCATGTCTGCTTTATGGCTCTTTTACAAGCAAAGCTATCAATACTCGTAGTATGTTCATCCGCTTTTCATTACGTGACGGCGCGGATTTTTCACCCTTCGCTAATTCAACCTCAGTCAAACAACGTATGCCTTCACACCTACACATTAAATTATACTATCGTCCAACCAACTAGTTAATCTTTCACTTCCTCATCTTTCTTCCCTCTTTCCTTTCTCCCGTTTCCTTGTCTGCCCCTCTTAATTAATAGTCAGCGGCATCTTCCTCGTTAGTTCGTCACTTCAATATCTGATCTCTAGAAGTCAGACGATTCCCGAAAGCGATAATCCCTCAAGCGAGAATACGGCAGCTATTTTTCTTGCTCTCCAATCTCGAGAACAGTCAAACACTCCTAGCAAATACGTACCAAATGCTGTCGAAGAGTTTTCAGCAACCCTATGAGTAGTATATTACGTTTAGACATGTAGCACGACGTCGCGAATATCGTAGCAGCCGAAACTTGAGGCTGTCTGTTGCAGCACATCCAGTTGCTTGAATCATAAGCAACATAATCAAGTAAGACTAAGCTGTGTTCAAGGTCTCCAGTGAAAACCAGAGTGGTATGAAAATGAGTGTATTTCGCCAATGCGATATGCTGTTCACCGACGAGTTATTTTAGCCAGAGCGTCACATAATGACATGACCATAGAGTCGAGCGTGGCCTGACTCAATATCTGGTAGCACACAGCCGCCTGATTTAATGCTGCATTTTAGCAAGTTATTAGGTTCTTCCAACGAAGCCTATTGGTTGTAGACTTATTTTATTAGGTGATGACCATTGCTGATTAACTGGAAACCAGTTAACTTGCTCCTCGGTGAAATTAGCGAATTGAAACTTTGATGGGTTAACAATTGAACAAATGAAGTCGGCGAATCGATGACTGGGCAAACTGATGGTTGGTGAAGTCTGGGTTAGCTATGTTGAAGTTAGACAGATCAAATTTAGAAAATGTATTCGACCAATCAAGTGGAAACCCAAGCCGCCCTATCCAAGCATCTCACACTGGGACCTAATCAGCAGAATGACAGACGATACCTTTCACCATCATGGACTCAATTTGAGAACAAATATGGCAAAAAATCATTAAACTAACTTCCTTTTTGAGTTTATGGGAAACATCCATTTAGGCCTGTAGATGATGAACAGAGTTTTGACCAAAAGCAGACAAAGCGAGTAGACCAGACTGATATTTTACAAAGGTGTGCCATTCATTGAGGAGAAAACTCTCTACTCGATTCATTCAGCGAGAAGTAGACAGGGTAAAACGAATAAAAGATTACATTTTTAACTAAGTGGTTAAACAACACTGAATAATTTGTCAACACTTTTAGACTAGTTTATTGCTGAGAGGACCGCATACCTGAAAAGTTTTTGGTTTGTTTTGGCACGTGCATCGGAATGTGTCAATAATCCGACTGTTATTGAGTGGGTGGAAGTGTTCCTACACACAACAAGATGCGGTGGGCTGCTGCTTTAAAACCGAGGCTTCCGTTACAAAGTGTTTGCGAAAATTCTGAACCCTTTGCCTACCTTGAAGATCATGAAAATAACTGGGGACAATTCTGGGTGTTTATCAGGGGTCTGATGTCGAGCGAATTTCGCATCTGCTATTACCAAATAGAAACTGTTTACACTTGCGGTCTGTGAACTTTTGGTTTTCGAGTTAGGAGTGTGAATTTCGAATGCAAAAATAAAGCTGTAGAATCCTGATATGGTTCCAACCAACGGAAATGTATAGTGAAGTGCTGACTCGGGTCTGACCACTGCTGATTGCTGAGGACAGAATACTATCGAAAGAGAAGTCTACCCGCGAAAGAGTGACTTCGATCTATCCAACTCGTGATCGCTGCAAACCGGGGATTAGTGTGCCTCTTTACTTTATTTCTACTCACTTCTAACACCCACGTCGAACATCTCCAACATACAGTCTGTTTGCTTCGGTCTCTCTAGGTACATTCGGTCGTCTATATCTGGGACGAATACATAGGAAAGCAAACAAGAGGAAAGCACGACCAGAACGATGGGAAAAAGCGTTGGTTAAATCTGTTTCCGGTATGTACTGAGTAAGAAACACATTCAGAATTTGTAAATCCGTCATTGTCATAGAGTTGTTTGCGCTGTTTTATTAAAAAAGGAACACAAAATGCTATGAAACATTTATAACATCCAAGATGATATCCTTGGTGCATTTCATACTGTACGATGATACGGTCTACGTGTAATGAACTCAAAACTGCAAACAAATGAATTGATGGAACCTACTAATAGGACTGTGTTAAACAAATACCTCCTTCAGAATTTTTAAAGTGAAACTGCCATGAGTATGTTCGTGCAGATTCCCATGAAAGGTACCTCTCCAAAAGAACAGCATAGTGTGGTGTAAGCCAATAGATAATGGGCATTAAGACTGGCTGAACTGGAACAATAACTCGTCACGAGTTGGCTCAAAAACTGCAGAACTTTGTAAAGAACTGTAGGCCAATTGTACGCATGTTGCAAATGGAGGTCTATCAAGCTCAGAAAACAGTGATAAAATTTGCACAGATTACAACTCAGACGATTTTCTAGTGGTTTACGCCACGAACCAAAAAAAAGGCCCTCCTTTTTCTGACTGACGCTCAAGACAAATGCTTGCTGTCATCCACTTGGCGCCATATGACATTTTCATCAAAACTTCGCCTGTTTTTAGGATGGATTGACCAATAGATTTCAAATGGTCTCATTGCGAGAGTAAGACTAAATCATAGCCCCCTGTACTTTTACAAGAACATTCACTACGGACCATATGGTCATTTGGAAAAGTACTTTGTATTTCCTTCATCCTATTAGGTATCTTCAGAAGTATGCTGTTCCCGAGGTTCATCAAGGACCCCCAAACCCTTAATGATTTTCACAGCTCAACTTTCTATCTGGGAAATGTCCAACCTGCATAATATAATACAATCGCTGCTCTCTTCCTAGAGTGGGAAATGATCGAACGGGGGTCCAAAAATGTTTTCGATATCTTCCAGATACGTATATTCGCATTATTTGTGAAAGCTTTTCCAGCAATCGTTTTCTACTAAGCATAGCCATCCTGGAAAACATTCAAGTTCGTCAAGTTCTTATTTTCTGACCACTCAAAATGAGGCACAGAATTCATGACATTTAGAGGAAACCGGTTAACTTGAACTCAATTCTGACTCTGTTTAAAAAAACTACATCCCTGTATTCACCTGATTCACACGCTTTGGCTTTATGAGAACTGCGCATACAGAATACAGGAATAGATTTATCCGACTCCAGAAGACCCTTCAGTGTTAGAGAGTGTTCTTCAAACAGTGCTAAAAAATATATATGATCCATCCTCGTGAGACCGAACCTTGTGTTAATATTGTTTCATTCCACATTTGCCCCTAAACCTGATGGAAAGTTCCTAAGCATATCACATAGTACCCAGTCTTAAAAGCAAGATCCACGCGAGGATTAATCCATAGCTATCGAGTTACAAAAATTTGTTTTCGGGAAAACCTACTGTCCTCTAAGTACTGCACAAGTTCCGGATTATTTATTCGAGTCTCAGCGTGCAAATCCATCCAAAACTGGGCTGAAAAACGGGATTTTAACTGCTAGTTTTTAAATCGTTATTTGAAAATATAAGTATTTCCTCCAATGTTCGTACTCACAATGGTCTAACTATGTTGGTTACTTCAGCTTTAAGCTTCAGATGTCTTATCACTCTTGTGATTATTCATTTGCTGCACTGGTTTAATTAGCTGCCCAAAGATAAGACTGATTGTTTTTTTTTCTTATAGCTACAGAATCCATATCTCTAAACTTCATAAACGTATAGCTGAAAAAAATGTTATACACTTACAGTCATCTTCAATGTATCACAGAACTCGTGTACTCTGTTTAACGCGCATTACATTGAATATTCTGTCCTCACTGCAGATCAAGCAACTGATGAACAAATCCAGGTTCTCTTGCAGAATGCATGCGATCTTGTTGGCCTGGTGCATAAAAACATAGCGTGCCTTGTGGGTACGTCGTACACAGGATCAGAGAAACAATCCAGTTCGCCGAATCTATCTAGATCCAAGCCACTACTCATCTATCCTTACGCTGAGTACGGTAATTTAAAACAATACCTGAGGTCAACTTCCTTTGGATGTCCAGACCAGCATAGCGGATTGGTAAGTTGTAACTGGTGCATTAGCATGTTTTCACATGTTTTGGGATTATTATCAATATCACAGTTCAAACAAATCAATTGGATCGACTTTGGAAAAAATACACTGAAGATTGTCAGGCATTCGGCGACAAGATCGTATGTAGTTATTTTAATCAAAGTACTTCAAGAATTGTGGTTTTTCGCAAACGTATGATCAATTTTCGAAAGTGATTTCTCCTTGGTAGTGGTCGCGAGGTAGGCTTAGTTGGACTGATAGATGTGAGCCAGTGGACTTGGGACCAGGCATCCACTGGACAGGTGGTAAATCACTTTGAGTGTTAATCTGACGTCCAATCAGCTTAGCAAATATTCCATGAGTTACGATTACTACTAGAACTGAACAGTTCAGCCGTAAGCAAGTATACAGGATGAGCGATTATATCAACAGCTAATCAACAAGATTTATCCTCGTGGATATAGTACCACATCATTCTGAACTGTAACCGAGCGAACCCTGTGTAGTGGGCTGGCAAAGACCAACAAAATCCACAATGGTGGAGAACGGAGCGAACTATAATTTCCCTCCTATCCAACCGAATCTTCCAAACGCAAAGTGTACTCTGAGTCAAATGTACATCTAAACCTTGCTATTCTAAAACTGTAGAATTCCCAGCATTGGAAGACTTTCTTTGCTGGGTGTTGTAACTCTACTCTTGCACACATATCTTTTGTGATCACATAAAACATTGTCAGTAATCTAATGTCTAGACCACCGGCAATAGGATACTTTCCACATCGCAAATTCAACAATTCATATGGAATAACATACCGTGTTCAAGAACAGCCCGGTTCGATTCTGTACGTGGCGCCCAATAATGTCAGCCAGGTATGGCGCCGAAACGTGTCGACTCGACCACTACAACTGGTAATATTGCCTCAGGGAAACGCATAATGAAGATAACAAATCAAAACTACGGTTAGCTGTCGCACTGGGTATAGCGAAAATTTCATTAGTTAGCCAGGCTTAGATGAAAAACCGAGGTGCATTTTACAGTGGTTTCATATTTGTTGTTATTGTTGTACGCACGGTGCGATGTTCCGTCGGCTTAACCTTTCATCATTCGACCACAGCTAGCCGATCAGCAGAATGACTCACACAGACCTAGGATCGTCAATACCCAATCACTATTCGTTTTATCACTAACCATTCACAGCATTCAATAAGGGAAACGGTCCGACGATTAGTTGTCAAGATTACCAGCGCACAATCCCAGGTTAGCTCTTTACTGAACGCGGCAAGGCATGAGGCAAAATGGGTTGTTTGTGGTCTAATACCAAGTTTTGCCGTCTGCTCTCCGGATAGAAAACGGTCGGGCGGAAAACACCTCTGTGTTTCAAAAGCCATATACAGTCAGTCACTTCTTCAAACTATTCTGCTGCAATTGCTGAGCGTGTAGTCTACCAAGCCCTCGATTTTGTTGTTATTTTATGCACCGCAAACTTCGAGGTTTTGCACACAATTGAGCAATCTTACGTATTTGCCTTTAGAAATCCCTAGTCAATTCTTGGATGGCATCATACTCCGAAGCGTTATCAGTGGACACGTGTGGTTTGTTCGGCTTCGTCGCAAAGTCTAACTGCCAGTGTGTCCGTATTTCGCCATTAGTCCTGGGATAGTCTGATGTGAAGGGACGAAATTCAGCAACGCGCAGCTCCACGTGCGTCGTAACCGCCCTCCCCGTACATCATTATCTGCCTATCACGGGCATTCGATATGAAGGAAAGAGCTCCGTCCTTTTCCATAATCGTGTGGGATGTTAGCTGCAGCTGTTACCAAGCCGCTTTGTTTCGAGGCGGGGGCACCGATGTTGTCACCTGTGTCTAGCTCGGCATCCAACCTAGGCCGACATCACCAGTTGGTCCCAGGATTGTCAGGGCTGCACGACCCCGAGAGCATGCCCTAGCGTCTGAGCCACCTTCAACAGGCCCTGCCCTAGAAGGCTTATTGCAGCTAGTCCACCTGCCTAATGGATATGTTTGAGCAAAACTCTATCGTCTCAGTGCACCCATTAAAGCTGTTTTTCGCTGGGCTATCTGGCGGCAGCCAGACTCTTCAGCGGATCAGAAATTTCCGGAATAATCATACACTTCGGCAATATGTAGTGCCACTCACTTCTGGATCAAGCGATTCACATTTCAATCCGATGTTAAATGCTGCCGTCGACTTCTTCGAAAGGAAGCATAATTATGGCTTTTAGATAGTGAGTGCATCCCGAAGTTTCAACAGAGATTCGGAAAAGGCCACTGCAGCTGACCGTAAAACAACGATGAGACAGCTGTACAGTGTATTTCAACATAAATCGACTTCACACGCAGGATGCACTTCCAAATAAAACTCCAAAAACTGGAAGAACCCGGAATACTTCATGGCAGTGTTATCAACCAGAAGAGCTCCGTGATATCTGATATCTGCTAGATAACCTAAAGTTGTTTCCTCAACCCTCTCTCGTAACCTTTCCTTGCAGTTTTGCAGCTCACCTCCTACTTTCAAGGTTCCCGTGTATGGAAGACCAGAAGTAAAAAGAGCCATGTTGCACTCACTACTGGCCGGCATTTTGTCTGCCTTTTAATAAGCGAGCTGAAATAGGAAAAGTTGGATCCATACCGAGAAGCCTTACCTTCAAGGGACAGGTTTTTTGTATAGCATCCGGTGAAGGCTCCGTGGAGATATGGATCTTCTCACAAACTGTACTATGTACGACAACTAAACGATTTTCTGTGTTTTACAAGGTGTAAAATTTGGAGACATTCAGAAACACAATACAGAAATATTGAAATGCGTTGGAAGTGATCGCACGACTCCAATTCTCAAGGTTCCAACATGCAGTGATACCACATA